CCTTCTGCTGATCACCACTGAATTGAATAGACAACCGTCAAGTCGTTCAAGGCAAACTGCAGTCTTGTGGGAAGCTCACACCAGACAGTAATTCCCCTCCCCCTCACAAATTTTGGTACGGCCATCCTGCTGCACCATGTTGTCCCTGTTGTTCGTTCGTCACTGACTTGCCGCCGATTTCCCGGCTAATTGCACTGAAGCAACCTGGAGTAAATTCCTTAAGGGAACTAGCAGCTGAGACCAATTTTGCTCTTTAGGATTTGTACCCGGCGCTTTTAGTACTGAAATCCTATCTCTCTGTGACCAAGCCACTGTTTCATCAAGAACAACATGATGCTGCTGCGTAGGGGGAGTGCCTGAAAACGTGACTACAAATCAGAACATATGGAGGAATCTGACCCCTCCATCAAGCTCTACCAAACAAAACGCTCAAAATGGAAGACAAAGAGCAAATGTGACCTTTCTTGTCATAAGAGGTGATTTTTATTCACGATACCAATAAATACCTGATCGGTGTTGTGCACTGAAGACACGAACTTTGGAACATATGTCAGTAATGGCACATGAGACATACCAGAAGAAAAAGAGAAAAATTTGTTCCGCTTCGATTAGATGAAAACGTGAATATCCGTTACCTTGGGCACGGCTCTGTCACTAAGGAGCAGCGGCGGCTCACAGATGATCTTCTTGTTTTTGATCAGGATTTTGTTCTTCAGCTGCAGTGGAGACGGTAGGACTGAGAGGTCGCTGAAGTCAGCGTCAAACAGGAACTTCGAGACCAACTTTTCGCCCCATATACTCTAAATTACGGACCAGATGCAGCAGTGATTGATCGATCGTCGAGGTACCTTAAAGGCTGCCGCCATCCTCGTCTGCTGAGCCAGACAACAGTGGTTTTCGATGCTGATGATGACCGGTAGGCATGAGGTTTCAAAGGCGCTCCTGTCGATGATTTTGACCACTTGCTTTAAATGCAACAGACATGTAAAACAGCAGGCAATAAAGTAGTGCGCAATCTAACTAGGAAGTCGATTTTGGTCGTGAACGTGTGACCGTGGTAAATCACCGGGTATCCGTCGTCGCCGTCCCAACAGTCGAGCTCGACGCAGCGGCAGCCGCTAAGCAGCACTTGGCGGTACAGCTCGACGCTTGACTCGCCCTTCAGCTGGTGGCCCGTGAGGTAAGTGTTGTGCGACGAGGCGATGTAGTAATAGGAAAGCGGATATGCCATATCCTAGCAAAACAACGCAATACGTAATATTATGCAGAAACACTAAAACCAATGAAAAAGTAGCTGACATCTGTTAGATTACAATCATAAGTTTTTTCTTTTCAAAATGACAATCCACTTATGCTGCCGCCCCAGTCATTTCAGACAATTAAAATAGTACAGGAGAGGCAAAGGCCAGAAAATGGACCGATAATCGACAAGATTGAAGCTTTAAATAAGGAATGACTGTATTCACCTTTGGGCATATGCATTCTCAGTTGAATCATCATCATGTGGGAGTAGTGAGCGGGGGAGGACGCATCAATCAGGAGAACGTCCATGCGCTACCGCTTTGATAAGCCAGAGGCAAAAACTGTGGTGCATTGGCTTGGGCTCATATTTATATTTTTTCTCTTTGCAGCAAAATGCGTAATGGCACGGCAGAGAAGCCACGTTACTTCAGTGTGAGCAGGCATCTGTTTGTGGATTAGATGCCGCCATTGGCCTCCACGGAGGGGAACTCGTTTGCTGACCTGCTAAAGAGCAACAGCCACTTCCACTCCAATCATAACCACTGGATAGTTATGATAATCAGTCAGGATTCTATAATAATATACTATAGCCTAATTTGCCATTTGTTTGGGGCTTAGCGACGGGCCTTCAGGGCTGCCGTAACACCTGAAGGAAAATAAATTCCACCGTACTTTATTCAACCGAGTAATGCCTTACTTTGACAGCGTTCGCGTGCCGTTTCTTGTGACAATGAGGAGAAGATGGTTTTTAGGGCTGGAGCTCGAGGCATCAGCAATGCAGAAATATGCTACTCTGTTTGACATCTCGACGGAACATACACCGGATGAATCGACCCTCGATGCTGACCAGAAGGCCAATATGCAGAATGATTCACTTGACGTCATATGGTTTTCTGACAAGGACCATAATCAAGTAGAAATCACATCTGCGTGCATTAGAAGTTTACTTATCGAGAATACTCAAGACATGATAACGACTAAGTAGGTTTTGTCTACCCGTGGCAGGCCTTATCAGTCACAATGAGGCATGGCTTGTGAACTGTGAAAATTTATGCGTGTGTCCTCTCGTGCATGACGAACGAAGCTGCTGCTACCTCAGTGTGATCTGACTACTGGTGCGCATCAACCTCGGTAGATTTCACAGGTTTCTCGTCAAATTTTCCACATAATTGATAATCGAGAGTTTCAAGAGGGAGTCTGTGTCGTTGCCCTGCTGTTTGTATTTTCGATAAGCAAGCTTTCGAGTGAAATGGTACTTCTAATGAAAGCAGGAAGCTACTTTATGGGACCATAATCACCCCTTTCATGCCATTTCATTCAGTTCTGACCTGTTCTTCGTAGGAATTTGCTTCATTGACGAAAGCGAAGTTGCTCTGGTCCATTAGGAAGCAAGCAAAGCCCTCGAACGATAAGCAGTTCTTGCCCCGCATCACGTTATCCGGCTCAAACGACTGTATGATGTTTGTGACGTCTTGTTCGGAGACGCTTTGCATCTGCTGGCTCTCCATGAATTCCTTGACCGTGTCCACGGACAGCCACGCGCTTCTGGACGTGTCAACGCCGGCTGAGTTCGAAACTATGCTCGCGACGGTCAGAGCGTTGTAGATCTTCGACTGTTTTTCAGATATCTGTATGGAACGGTGCGAGTTGCGCATGAGGCAGTCTGAAAGCGCAGAGGTAGATTTAGTTAAGCAATATGAGGGATAACAGAGTCGAAAACGAATAAATAAAATTTCCAAAATTCTCAATTTTCCCGGTGAATTAGTATATTAATGATTTTAATATTTTATCGATTATAACTGAGTTTCACTCACCTACTCCGTGTACCAATCTTACAATGCTTTCTCGGTTTTGTAGATATAAGTCGATGTCATAAATGACCCAGGGACACTACGTTTCATACCTTCAAAATGTTCGGTCGGAAAGGCGGTATACTGGCGCTTCATGAAGC